CGCCGAGGCGCGCGGCAGCCGCCAGGCGGGGGGCCAGGGCGCGGCAGCGGGCGGCGAATCGCCGATCCGCGGCGCGCGGAGCCCGGCCTCGCGATCGGCCTGCGAGGCGGGATCGATCGGGCGGCTGGCGCCGATCGACCCTGACCGAGCGATCGGTCGCAGGCCCAGATCGCCAGAGGCCAAAGCGCTCGAGTCGGCCACGCCTTTGCTTGTGCTTGCTCTACATGCCTTCGCAGAAAGGGGCGCGCGCGCCCGAGTTCTATGCTCCGCCGTCAAGCGCTTGCTCGCTGGCCGTGCTACCGATGCTCTCGCAGGCTCGATCAAAACACGTGTGATGCTTGCTTCGACGCCCCAGCGGTGCGCCCATGCTCGTAGGAGCTGGGCCCCACGTTCTCGGACTGCTTGGCTATGCAAGCCACCGGCGTTCACAGGGCAGAGGGCTCTCGTGTTGCCGGTGGTGAGCGAGAGCGGTTCGTGCGACTGCCAGCCCAATCGGTGGGCAGTCGCTAGGAATGCGCCCGCAGGCCCTCGGGCTGTCGCCCACGGCGGGGGCGCCTGTGAGATTCGGATGCTCCAGCGCTTCCAAGCTGCCGTTCGGCGGGTCACGGACGCTGCGTCGTGACTGGCCTCCTTCTCGTCTTCCTCCTCCTCCTCCCCCTCCTCCTCCTCCTCCTCCTCCTCCTCCTCCTCCTCCTCCTCCTCCTCCCCCCCCCCCTCCTCCTCCTCCTCCTCCTCCCCCCCCTCCTCCTCCTCCTCCTCCTCCTCCTCCTCCCATTCGACTGGCGGTGGCCCATTCGACTGTCGGGCTGGCACTGGTCATGTGCGCTAGGTCGACTCCCTCCACAAGGAGGGCCCGCTGCGATGACCTGCCATGCATATCCAGGGGCAAAGATCTACGCAGACACCGTCTACTGCATGGTTCCGTGGCCTCAGGGGAGGGTGGCGGTGTATAAATCACTACTGAGGGCCAGCAGCTTATACACCGCCGCCCTCCCTGAAGATACAGGCGAAGTTTGTCGGAGGATGTCAGTGGATATTTTTTCGTGGCGTATACGAGCCTGCAGTTCGTTCTGGGGCCGGCCAATTGTTTCATTCTCGCATGTTTTCTTTCGGGACTGCCATTTAGATATTCCTTTTTGTGCCCGGCAACAGCTTGCCTTCGGCGGCCAGCGCAGCGCGTGACTCCAAGATGATTGGCGAGGTGCGCAGTGCGAACCCCAGTGTTGCCAACGTTCCCACGTCCCCGCCTCGTGCGGCCCTGCAAATTTACCTCTCCACAAGAAGAAGCGCCCTGCCCCCCGTGGAAGACCAGCAGGGTTGGGCCTGCCAGTTTTTTTTGGGGGGCACCGCTTCGAACATAATCGCATTGCATGTTTCTGGCGCGTAATCAGGAACGCGATAAAGAAATTGCCGTATCTATCTATCTATCTATCTATCTATCTATCTATCTATCTATCTATCTATCTATCTATCTATCTATATCTATCTATCTATCTATCTATCTATCTATCTATTTATTTATATATATATATATATATATATATATATATATATATATATATATATATATATGAGTAGGCCGGGGGGGCCAAACTCGGTGCCGTCATCCCCCGTGGCCGCCCCCCGAACCTTTGGGGGGTCACAGACCCCCCGGGACTGCCCCGGGCCGCTTCCAAATTGCCACGACAGGCCACGCGGGCCGTACAGATGGTCAAGAAAGCCTCAAGAGGCCCCGAAGACGCCTAAGAGCGCCCCAAGAGGGCCCGTGAGGGCCCCAAGAGGGCCTTCAAGAGGCAAACATCTGCCCATTTCCTTTGTAAAACGTGCATTTTCGGCATACTCGCTGGCTTCGTCTTCACAGTGCCCCAGACGCCCCCGCGGAGCCCCAACGCAGCCCAAGAGAGACCCAAGAGGGCCCCAGACGGCCCAAAAGGGTCGTCCTGTGGGGCTCACGGAACCCCAGAGACGGCCCAAAAGGCCCTGAAGCCGGCCCAGGAGGCCCTCAAGACGGCCTCAGGGAGGCCCAAGAGGGCATCGTTCGAAATCATGTTCCCGGAAGCCTCTCCGGGAACATGATTTCCGGGTTCCCAGGACGCCCAAGAGGCCCACAAGACAGCCTCAGCGAGGCCCCAGGGGGCCCGAGATGGCTTGAAGATGGCCGAAGAGGGCCCCGAGAGGGCCTTCAAGAGGCAAACATGGGCCCATTTCCATCGTAAAACGTACATTTTCAGCATCCTCGCTGGCTTCGTGTTCACAGTGCCCCAGACGCCCCCGAGGAGCCCCAAGACAGCCCAAGAGAGACCCAAGAGGGCCCCAGACGGCCCAAAAGTGTCGGCCTGTGGGGCTCACGGAAACCCCCAAGACGGCCCAAGAGGCCCTGAAGCCGGCCCAGGAGGCCCCCAAGACGGCCTCAGGGAGGCCCAAGAGGGCCTCGTTCGAAATCATGTTCCCGGAAGCCTCTCTGGGAACATGATCGGTGCCCACCGGGGGTTGCGGGGGGGGGTCCAGAGTTCCTGAGGTGGCCCGAGCCCGCCCCGAAGCAGGCCACGACCCCACGAGGCCCCGAAGACGCCCAAGCTGCCCTCAAGACAGCCGACGAGGACTCCAACTCGCTCCAGGACGGACTCAAGAGGCTCCCCAAGAGGACCCTGGAAGGCAGGATTCGCTCGTTTTCCGAGTATTTTGGATTTTGGCATTCTCGCTTTTCCCGCTTTCCAGCGCTCCCTCACGGCCTCGGAGGCCCTTCAGATCGCTCCAAGAAGGCCCACGAGGCCCCGACGAGGGCCCCAAGACGGCCCAGGATGCTGCCCAGACAACCCAAGTGTGCCCCAAGAGCGCGCCAAGAGAAGGCCTAGAGGGGTCCCGAGAAGGCCCGGGCCCGCCCCGAAGCAGACCACGACAGGCTAATGGAGGTCCCGAGAGGGCCCTAGACGGTCCCGAGAGGCCCCGAAGACGCCCAAGCTGCCCTCAAGGGCCGACGAGGACTCCAAAACCCTCCAGGACGGACTCAAGAGGCTCCCCAAGAGGGCCCTGGGAGGCAAGATTCACTAATGATCCGATGGTTTCCGAAGGATTTGGCGTTCTTGCTTCACCCGCTTCCCAGCGCTCCCTCACGGCCTCGCTCGGAGGCCCTTCAGATCGCTCCAAGACGGGCCACGAGGCCCCGAAGAGGGCCCCAAGACGGCCCAGGAGGCTGCCCAGACAACCCAAGTGTGCCCCAAGAGCTCCCCAAGAGAGGGCCCAGAGGGGGACCGCCAACCGATGTTTCGAGGTCTCTGGCCCTAGAGGCCGCCTGGAGGCCCTCGGAGGCCACCAAGAGGCTCCCACGAAGCCCCGTGAGGCGCCCAAGAGGCCCCCAGGAAGCCCCAAGAGACCCTCAAGGGGCTCCCAGGGAACGCCCAAGAGGCCTCCCGACACGCCCCAAGAAACCATGTCCCCAGAAAACCTTTCGGGGACATGGTTCATCATGGGCCCGAGAGTTCCCGGAGGCCCCCAAGGGGCCCCCAGGGAACGCCCAAGAGACTCCCCAACACACCCCAAAAAACCATGTCCCCAGAAAGCCTTCGGGGACATGGTTCATCATGGGCCCGCGAGTCTCCGGAGGCTTCGAAGTACCATCATGCTACAGGAGAGCTGTCTGGGAAGTTGATTGGGAACATGACTGATCGCCTTCTCGCGGCCCTCCGCAGATCGTTTCGCACAAAGTTGCCCCAAGTGCCCTCTTGAACCGACGACGACGACGATGACGACGACGACGACGACGACGACGACGACGACGGCGACGACGACGACGACATTACGACGACGACGACGACGACGACGACGACGACGACGACGACGACGACGACGACGACGACGACGACGACGACGACGACGACGACGACGACGACGACGACGACGACGACGACGACGACGACGACGACGACGACGACGACGACGGCGCGCCCCAATAGGTGACGACGACATTACGACGACGACGACGACGGTACGCCCCAACAGGCTCCCCAAGACGCCCCCAAACCCATGCTCCCAGAAGGCCTTCTGGGAACCCGATTCTTACGGCCTCCGTCCCCCTACACAACCATTTTCCTCGAAGGCCTTTCGGAATGCAGATTGGCATGCGTGGACTGTGGTCCACTACTTCAGTGGAGCACTGAATTCGGCAAGGCCTGGTGCCTGCTAGAACCTGAGCGCGCGCGCGAAGCGCGCGCGATTGTTCTAGTATGTATGTATGTATGTATGTATGTATGTATGTATGTATGTATGTATGTATGTATGTATGTATGTATGTATGTATGCATGCATGCATGCATGTATGCATGTATGTATGTATGTTTGCATGCATGTAAAACTTGCATGCATGCATGCAAGTTTTCTACAGGAACGTGCGCGTCGCTAAAACAATAACCACATTGTGAAACAAAACGCTTGTGCTCCGTCCGCGAAGCTGTTGCGACATCCTAGCTTGGGATTCGTGAGACGTCGGGAAGTACGAGGCGAAGCGCCGGGCCCGCCCTGCCGACACGTCTGGCGGCGCGACACAGAAGGGACGGGGCAGGAGGAGGAGGAGGAGGAGGAGGAGGAATAGGAGGAGAAGGAAGGAGGAGGAATGAGGAGGAGAAGGAGGAGGAGGAGGAATAGGAGGATATGGACGGAGGAGGAGGAGGATCAGGAGAAGGAGGAGGAAGAAATATGAATAGGAACAGGAGTAGGAATAGGCATAGGCATAGGAATAGGAATAGGAGTAGACATAGGAATCAGACCAGGAATAGGAACAGGAATAGGGATAGGAGAAGGAATATAGGAGGAGGCGGTGGAGGAGCATCGACACAGAGGAGCACGTGGAGCAGGAAGAGCACACCGCCCTCCCTGAAGAGGGCCGCCCGGGAAGACGGGCCGACGAGCCCCCGAGAGCGGCCGGCGCCTCCCGTGGCGGGGGCCGCTCGGCCCTCCGCGGCGGCCCGCGGAGGGCCCGCGGCGGCCCGCGGCCTCCCCGCCAGGACGAGGTGCTCGAGGTGCTGGCCGCGTACTCGGCGGCGCAGACGAAGCCCGCGGACGAGAGAGGGGGGGGTGAGGGGCAAGCTTTCCACCGCCGCCACCGAACGCGGGACGGGGGAGTAGGGAGGATGGAGGAGGTCCTCCTCCTCCTCCTCCTCCTCCTCCTCCTCCTCCTCCTGCTCCTCCTCCTGCTCCTCCTCCTCCTGCTCCTCCTCCTCCTCCTCCTCCTCCTCCTCCCTCTCCTGCCTTTGGTAGTGGTGGTGGAACATGGGCTCATCAGGGGGGCCCGAGCCCGCGGCCAGGAGGGCCAGCGGAGGGGGGGGGAGAGCTTCGGCTTCGAGGTCTGAGGTTTTCGGGCGGCTTCGCTGGTCGTCTGCGAGCTTCCCCAGCCTCGGGGGGTGCGTTCCAGCGGCTGCGCCTCGCCGAGGGCGTTCCGGGGTTGCCCGGCCGCTGGAGAGCCGAGTTATGGTACGAAACCCGGACGACGAGGATCATTTGGAGCCGTCGCCGTCGTCGTTGCCGTCCTCGTCGTCGTCGTCGTCGTCGTCGTCGTCGTCGTCGTCGTCGTGGCCTTCGCAGTCCGGTAGGAAAGGGTCATGGGGGAGCGACAGGTTGGGAAAGGCGCAGGGGAGGACGAGATACCGATGCCGCTGCTCTTCCCTCGTCGTCACTGCGGGAATCGCCTCGAACCGCTGGTCCGATCACACCCTGGGAGATGCCTATGGAGTGGCGTTGTTTTTGTTGTTCCTTCTTTTCTTTTGTTTGAAAATTTGGTTCCCACAAGGGGGGGGCCTCGAACATTTTCTCGTGGCTCCTCCTCTCACCGAGTAACAAAACAGCATCAGCAGACACTTTCGGATCTCCGCGCGGATAACTCGGATCGGCGCCTGGCCCCCCTCCCCTGGCGGAGCCTCCGGCGCCGCCCCTGGCGCGCCCCGCGCGCCAGGGAAGGGGGGTTTCAGCGCCGATCTAAGAAGTCCGCGCAGAGGCCAAGGTTTTCCCCCCCGAGCTGGTCACCCCCGATCGTTCCCGCTCAGCCTCGCCATCCTTCTTCTCCTCCCGCCCTCCATCCTCCTCCCGCCCTCCCTCCTCCTCCCTCCCTCCCTTACCCTTCCTCCCTGTCCGAAGCCCTCTCGACCGCGCCCCCAGCGGGAACAATGGGTCGAAACGCTTCCGGAAGCCTTCCAGAACCCACCCGAAGCCTCCCCGAAACCCTGGGCGCCCTTTTCTTCGGAAGAAGTGGCATAGACATAAACTTTCGGAGGTCCGAGCGGAGTTCTTGGATCTGCGCTGGATCCCCCTCTGCCGCCTCTCGCGCCGCACTAGGTGCGCGCCAGGGAAGGGGGTCCAGCGCCGATCCGAGAAATCCGCGCGGACCTCCGAAAGTGTATGTTTATGCAGTTTTTTCCCCACATCCTAAGTGGGGCTCTTGTTTTCTCTGGACACCCCGTGCAGTCCTCCTCCTCACCCCCTCTCCTCCTTACGCACTTACACCATCATGATCATCGTCATCAACACAGCATCATCATGACCACCATCATCATCATCATCATCACCATCACTATCGTCGTCGTTATCATCCTCATCACAATCATCACAATCATCATCATCTGTCATTTTCTCTGCGCAGCTCCGCGCCAGATGACTCCCCCCCTCCCCCCCCTCTCTTCCACCCCTTGACCATCACCATCACAATCGTTATCAAACTCATCATCATCATCAGTACCACCATCATCAGCATCATCGGCACGCACACACGCTCACTCATCATCATCATCAGCACACTCACACACATAATTACCCTCTTTTCCATTTCATCATCATTATTCGCCATCGTGTCGGAGAGATGGGGCGGGAGTTGGAGACGAAACCAGTGTCGGAGATAAGGGAGCCCCTGGGTTCAAATCAGCCTCTTTGGGGAAGTACTCTTCCATGTAGTTGAGAAAGCCGTCCTCCAAACCGTTCCACACTTGTGCATGTGATGCCATATCTGCCCGTTGGATGTCGCATTGGTATTCTGTAACACTCTGAATGAACGGCACTATATCATCGTCCCAAGTCTGTCGCTGACCGCCGCGTCGTCGTTCTGCTCGTCGTGCGTCGTGCGCACTCGGAGCCCAAAGTATACAACGCCTACGGCTGTTTCGGCGCCCACCTTTTCCGACTCCAGCACCGACTCCAGCTCCCAGCTTCCGGCTCCAGTTCCAGCTTCCGCTTCTCCGACTCCAGCTCCCATCCCGCCCCCCCGACCCCGGGTCCGATTCCAGCCCCCGCCTTTTCGACTCCGGCTCAAGATCCTGATTATTTATGTTGGCGGAATGGTTGAAGGTATTCTGCAGGTCCGACTCCGATGGGCCCGACTTGCTGCCACGTGGGAGCCGGACATCCACGACCTCCGGCAAGCAGTCCGCAGACACGGGGGTCAGAGGAAGAGGTGGGAAGACGATACGACACAAAATCTGACAGCAAACATGTTTCTCCAACCTGGACGCGAACGATGATTTACACTTAGCACAGGACAGCACTCAATGCAGCAATTTGGAAAAACCGACCTTACGCCACACACAGCACTGACCACAAGTTCCACATCTACAACTGAGGGCCCCAGCCCGCCCGCGCCGGCCTTCCAGGCCCCGCCTCCCCGGCGGACTCAGGCGCGCCTTGCCTTGCCTTGCCACTGTCACTCACCATCACTATCGTTATCATCACACATTCATCATTATCGCCATCCCATCGCGATCATCGGCCAAGAGGGAGCGTCTTCTGTAATTAAGTGTGAGGAAGTCTCAGGCGGGAGCCCCCGCCCTATGGGGTCCGCACTTCATGTTGGTAATCCGAGCGGGTCATCGGGATCCGGTAGCTGTCGTCACTTTTCGAGTCCTCTGGTCTGAATATTGAGGAAGTCTCAGGCGGGAGTTTCGTCTGTGAGTGAATTTAGAGGAAGTCTCATTCTGGATCCCCCTCCCGACTGGGTTCGCGTTTCATGTTGGCAATTCGAGCGGGTCATCGGGATCCTGAAATTGTCGCCGTTTGTCGGGTCCTCTGGCATGAATATTGAGGAAGTCTCAGGCAGGAGTTTCGTCTGTGAGTGAATTGCGAGAAAATCTCCGGCGGGAGCCTCCCCTCCCCATGGGGTCCGCGCTTCACGTTGGTAATCCGAGCGGGCCATCGGGATCCTGTAGCTGTCGCCATTTTTCGGGTCCTCTGGATTGAATATTGAGGCAGTCTCAGGCAGGAGTTTCGTCTGTGAGCGAATTGCGAGGAAGTCTCCGGCGGGAGCCTCCCCTCCCCATGGGGTCCGCGTTTCACGTTGGTAATCCGAGCGGGTCATCGGGATCTTGTAGCCGTCGCCATTTTTCGGGTCCTCTGGATTGAATATTGAGGAAGTCTCAGGCAGGAGTTTCGTCTGTGAGCGAATTGCGAGGGAGTCTCAGGCGGAAGTCCCCTCCCTATGGGGTCCGCGCTTCACGTTGGTACACCGAGCGGGTCATCGGGATCCAGTAACTGTCGTCGCTTGTCGGCTCCAGCGGCCGGCTCTCGCGCCCCCGGCGGCTCGTGAGGTTGTCCCAACGGCCGTTGCCCCGACGGCTTCGCGATTTTGCCATCGGACAACGTGCCCCTGCCTGGCGCGGCGGCGAGGGCGCCGATGAAAATCGGCATGCGCGGAAAGAGAGGTGCATGAGGAGAACAGGCGGGGGCCGGAGATGAGGGGGGGAAAAGGAATACGAGGTGGAGGTGGAGGAGGAGTTCAGGAGGAGGCGGAGGAGGAGGAAAAGGAGGAGGAGCAGGAGGAGGAGGAGGAGAAAGAGGACGAAGAGGATGCGGAGAAGTCGAGCAAGGAGGCCGAGCAGGAAAAGGTGACGGAGGACGAGGAAGACAAGGTATATGAGGAGGAGGAGGAGGCTCAACAGTGGGTTAGACGGGGGCTTCGGCCAAAGCGAAGAGGAAAGAGCGAAGGACACTAAATCTATTCTCATGTGGGGTCATACTGTCGGAGTAATGTTTAAATGTATCCTCCCTCATGCCCCCCATCGCTCCTTTTTCTTCTTCCACTCCCGTCCATCCTCCTCCCGTCTCCCTCCTCATCCCTCCTTCCTCCTCCCTTTTGTTCCCTCTTGGAGGAGAAAATGGATGAAGAGGAAAAGGAGGGACGAGGAGGGATGAGAAGGAGGTTGAAAGAGGAGGAGGAGGAGGAAGAGGAGGAGTAGGTGTTGTAATCTCCCACGGGTGAGGGCTTCCCACCGTGGAGCCGCTGATTGGCAGATCCCACCGCCCTGTACCCAAGCGCCAGGAGGTGGTGTCGTGATTCGCCGTCGTCGCTCATGGGCGCTCGGCCCCCGCGCGGCTCGCCTTGGGGCACGCTCCCCCGCGAGAGGCTGCGGAGCCGGCGGGTTTCCCAAGCGGCGCTGCACTTTTCGCCGTTGCTTTGCAAATGCGTCGCGCGGAGTTCTTGGATCTGCGCTGGAGTGGCAGGAGGAGGAGGAGGAGGAGGGGCAGAACGAGTAGAAGGGAGGTGGGGGGGCCGCCAAGCCAGTCCGCAGGGGCAGAGTGCGCATAAAGAGGAAGGGGGTGGTATGATCGACAACGAAGAATGATACGATTAAGAAACATAAGACAAACTATATTCATACGAGTACCAAGCAAATGCTAATAATACGAAGGCGAAGGGTAATACACATAATGCTAGTGACAGTTGTAAGAGTACAGCGAATAAGTATGTGACCGCTGCGAATCCGATTCGTAAAGCGAGAAGTAATACACTGGTGATCGTATTAAGAGCAGAAGGTATTGTGCTGGTCCACGTAATACTGATACTGATAACCATTATCTGACGAAGCTCTGTTGAAGTATGGGGATGACGAAGCATACAACGAAACAGAAGAGCACTGCGGATACGACCACGAGTAGAAACATACACTTACACTTTCGGAGGTTGGCGCAGATTTCTTGGATCGGCGCTGAGCTCCCCCTGGCAGTCGCCGTCCTCGTCGCCCTCGACTTT